TATTACTACTACAGTCAGGCATCACTTGATGATGGGGATACATTCTCAGAAGAGCCTCGTTAGGCAATTTTGTCATTGTGAAAACATCCTAGAGTGCACTTACACAAACGTAGATGGTACAGCCTATTGCTCCTAGGCTACAAACCTGTACCGTCCTGAATGTCACCATCCTGAATACTGTGGGCAGTTATAACACAATGATAAGCATTTGTGTATCCAAACATAGCTAAACATAGAAAAGGTCCAGGAAAAATGTAGTATTATAATCTTATGGGGACACCTTCATATTTACAGTCCATGGTTGACTGCAATGCCATTATGGCACGTGACTGTATTATCATCATCTATTAAAATCATGTTTCCATGGTTCAGAACTGAAAAAACAAACAAACAAAACAAGAAACCATGTTACCTACCTTCTCCGACTTTTCTTTATAAATTAGGAGATGTTATTTGTCTACTCTTTATAGGTACCGTGAGAGTTAACTATACAAGATTTTGGTGGAAAATGCACTTGGCTTTATCTTGCTTTTCCTTCTTTCGTTGTTTTTAATGAGAGCCAAAACCTTCTGTTGTGAGGCACCGAGCTTTTTTCTTCCCCTGCTGCGTGGTAGTGCCTGCTCCAAATGGAGCCAGCCCCTGTCTTCAAAGTCCTCTTCAGTCTTATCTGTAGCTGCCCACCTCTCTCTTGCTTTAGTCACACGCCAAGAAAGCTGGCCGAATAATCGGTCCAGACTGCCAATCAGAAAAGCGAATCAAGTCACTCCTGACTGCTCTGCTAGTTCTAGTGGATGCAATGAGTGAGAAACGCAGCACAGTCTATGTCCCCGCAGAGCTTATATTAAAGCAGAGAAACAAATGTTAAATAAATTATTTTAAAAAATAAGTAATTAGTTATATTAGGAGAGGAAATCTCTGTGAGGATAAATTTCAAGCTATGGTGGGGTAAATGAGAGGGCTGAACCCATTCTTTGGCCATTAATTTGTCTTTCAGCCTCAGCTCAAATGTCACCTCCTCCAAGAAGCCCTCTCTGACCATCAAGCAAACCAGTCACTCTCTAATCCATGTCCCACTTTATTTCCTTCATTCTAACTTTCACTGCCTAAAATAACCTTGCTGTAGTAATGTTTGTTTATTGCCTACCTCCCTCTTTGAAAATATAAACTCAAAGAGCTAAACCTCAATATATGATTTACTGCTGTATCTCCAACACCTAGAAGAGTATCTGGCATTTAATAGCTGCTATAAAGGTTATATTATATAAATGAATGGATAAATGGACTAACTACAAAGAGGATCCTCTTTCTTTCAGGTCAGAATCTAACAAGTTGTGAATTTCACACACTGGCTAGTGGGTGTAGGAAGTGCGATGGAAATTGTTAGAATTTTCTTCACTCAGTTCAACTCAATTCAACTCAATTCAGTCCAGCATGTACTTATCGAACTCCTATTATGCTTCAGGCTGCAAACTTTGATCTCAGAATTCAGCAGAAAAAAAAGTCAAATTTTTACCCTCCCGTAACTTACAGTCTGGCCAGGGCATCAGATACTAAACAAGTATTAAAGAATTCTTAGCACTTTACTGGATTACCTCATTTAATCCTCACAGCAGCTCAGCAGGTGTATATGTTAGGAATGGTTATTATACCAAAGAAGAGGGGAGTAGGCTTCGGTGTTTTTTTGTTTTGTTTGTCGTTTTGTTTTGTTTGTTTTTGACAGAGTCTCACTCTGTCACCAAGGCTGGAGTGCAGTAATGTGAACATGGCTCACAGCAGCCTCAACCTCCCAGGCTTCAAGTGATCCTCCTGCTTTAGCCACTCAAGTAGCAGGGACCATAGGTGGGTACCACCATGCCTGGATAACTTTCTGTATATTTTTTAGAGATGAGTTTTCACTCTGTTGCCCAGGCTGGTCTCAAACTCCCTAGTTCTAGTGATTTGCCCACTTCGGCCTCCAGAATGTTGGGATTAGAGGGGTGAGCCCCCACACCTGGCTGAGACTAGGTATTTTATGTATCATATTTACTATTGATCCTTTAGCACCATGCACAGTGCCTGGCCTAACTAGGTGCTCAGTACCTATGCTCAATAATGAATGAGTATTTTAAAAGAGGAACCTCACGTGGGGAGTCTGTAGAAGGGGGATTTGATCCAGTCTGAGGCATCAAGAAACCTCTCCCTGAAGTCTTGGCACTTCATTGAAGTTTTAAAGAATGAGTAGGAATTTGCTTTGCTTTGACTTAAGAGTACAAACCTAGGTGGGCTCATCCTGATTGATATTAAATAAGCTAATATTTTTCCTGGGATTTAGTTTCCTTCATAGCAAAATGAAAAACTGTAATGATGAACCTTCCCCCAAAGGAGGTTGTAAAAACATACCAAGAGAGAATTATCAGGTTAACTTTTCTGTAAGACTTGGGATTCAGTGAGAGTAGGCAACAGGACTGGAACCAGTGGGGACAGGCAGTTAGGAGACTCCAAGTCCGTTGGCCCCAAGGCAGGGGCTCCAGCTGGACTTGGCAGGGCAGAAATGATTGCTTCTGTTCTCCCAAGAGGTCAGTCTGAAGAAAAGCTTGGAGCAGCCTCGTCCAGAGCACAGCACTCAAGAAACTCCCAATTAATTGCTTTTTTGCCACTAATGTCAGAACCTGACATGTGGAAATCATCTGGTGAAACTCTTGTCTCTGGACTCTGCTCTGCCAGACTCAAGAGCCTTCTCACATGGCATCTAAATGGGTCACTTTTATCTTTCCTTCCTCTGAGACTCCTGGTTTCCCTTTCAGAGACCTTTTTCTGCTCTTGGGCTCTCCCTTCAGAAACCTCTGCCATTGCCTTAGATCCTCCCATCTCCTCATAATGACACCATTCCTCTCCTGGCGGCCCTGCTCTTATCTGTGATGACGTTAGTTGCATCAGAGACTAATGCCACTGACAGAGCTAATGACTGCTAAGTCTTCATTTGCTATGCCTCTCAGTAAGATAATTGCCTTTCGACAGTTTTTTGTCTTTATTTTTTATTTTTTGTAAATAATGCCTAATGCAAAAGCATGGATCTCTTAACACTGACCTTTTGAGGCCTTATAATCCCAAAGAATCTGTTCATATCCTCTTCCTGCTGTCATAGCCCATATGTGGCTATATCAAAACAGTTCAGTAGTCTCTCTTTTTCTGGAATATGTACTTCTTTAGAGCAGGGGTGGTAACTCACATCCTATGTCCCCATCACTCAGCCTAATGCCTGATACATCATCAGGTGGCAACAAATTGCTGGATACGTGATTTAGGACAAGGGTGTTTGGAAGGCTTTCCATTACCCAAACTTGTCAAGCTAGAGCATGCAATTAAATATCTTATTCCAGAGGTTCTCAAATTTAAAGAAAGAATCACTTTTCATCCCCAGAGAATCTGGATCTATTGGCTTGCGGGCTGTGAAATCTGCATTCTTCACGAGCTCATCAGATGATTCTAGTGCGGAAATATGGGATCTCCTTTTGATAAATTATTATATCCCCTCAGCCCATTTTCTCTTCTGTAAAATGGGATTGTTGAGAGAATCAAAGAGAAAAAAAGCACACTGAAATAGTTCAGACGGTGCCGTGCAAACTACCTGCATCAGGTTCACCTGTCCAAAGAAATGTCAAATTTGTTCTGTCTGCCTCTTGCCCATTCTGCATATGGGTAGATAAGTGCCTAGGCCTTACACTAAATCTGTCATTTTAGATTTGACTTGAAAAAACATTTTCAATTGAGGTCAAGAGGTATTGGTTGGTTTGGAGTGGCCTATTTGGGACTTGGGTTCTAGTCCCATTGTTCTTTTGCTTCTACTGGAGATGACAGTATTTTGTTTGTTTTGTTTTGTTTTTATTGAGTTCTTTGAAGATAACTATGGCCAGCATCCTCAGTGAGTATTTTTTTCACTCAGGAAGTAATTAATGAGTGCCTACTATTGACTTAGAAAATATTTGCTAAGTGTCTACCATTTATGTAAAGCTGAAATACACAATTAAAGTTGAAGCATGTATATCCACAAATTCCATAATGCCTTTATTTGAATGATCTATTCCAGCTTTGTGATAGGCTCAAATCCACTTCATTTGTGCTATAAAGGACCTTCACACACACATAAAAAGTTTAAAATATCTTCCAGAAGCTTTACCCATATATATTGATTTATCCATTCACTCAACTAATATGTACTATCTACTTTGTGCAGGCACTGGTGAGGCAGTAGAGATATAAAGATGAATTAAACATTGATCTCCCCCTCAAGTTTACACTTTCATTATTTTGATAAGATAGCTAGGTAAATAAAGTAATATGTTATAATTCAGGGCTGGTACAACTATTATAGGCAATAGTAATTAAACTTAGGAAGCACTTACAATGTGCTAGACACTGAGCTAAACCCTTTATAGGAGCTATCCCATTGTGTCCTCAATAGTGTCATTTAAGGTTCTATTATTATCCTTGTTAGGCCTGTAATGAGGCTAAAATAAGTTAAGTAAGTTGCCCAAGATCACACAGTAAGTCAATGTCAAAGGCAGGATTAAACACTGGCTGTCTAACTGCAGCATCACTCCTCTTAAGCACATCCCTCTTCAACTACTCTTAGGTTGGTGTATGGCTCAGAGAAGGCTAACAGCAGCAACATTGGTAGTTTACCACGTGCCTGCAATGTGCCAGATCTCTATGCTTATTGTCTCACTTCTTTCAAGAATACATGAGGAAAACCTTGTCATTGTTCCCATTTTATAGATGAAGAAACTGAGGTTCACAGTGCTAAAGTTTTGCTCATTTCTACCCTGCCACTAAGTGAATGCACTGGGATGCAAACTGTTGGGGTCAAATTGACCCGAAAGCCCACAGTCCTTCCACTCTCTCGCTGCTGGCCGGAGGTTAGAAATGAAGTATCTCTTAGGAAGACACGCCTGGATATACTCTTCCGACACGAGTTTGATGTTACCCACACAAACAAACCAGACCACTTACTATGTGTGTACCTATGCAACAACCTTGCATGTTCTTCACATGTACCCCAAAACCTAAAATGCAATAAAAAGTAAATAAATAAACAGCACCTTACTTAGGATGGCCCTACCTTGCCAAGTCCCTGGGTCTAAGGAGGTTATATGTTTATTGCAGAACTAAATGGCCTGGCTCTGCCAGCAGTTCGTCATCATGTCATAACAGTCCAAAAGTCAGAGAGGTGGCATACTGATGGGAGAATCAACTGACACAATCATGGGCTGTCCTGGCATTCTAATGACTGTGTTTTTTCTCTCCTGGGCAGACCAGCACATTCCTCCAATGCTGAGATAAATATTCGTATAAGGAGGAGAGCCTATGAAGGCTTAAAAATTATTCTACCCAATTTTCAAGGCACACTTTTGTTTTAAATTTTATTTTAAAAAATCTTAGGGAAACGTTGGTTTTCTTTTATGGACATTTAAATCATTTCCCTGTGCCTCTGAGTGCAGCACGAAGGACTTTTGTCTCTTTCACTTCGTTATGTACAATAGTGTCTTTGACAGAACTTATAAATCCCAAACTGAAGCCCTGTGCTTTCTTGTCTTCCAGTGATAATGTTTCCAAAGTCATTATTATTTCATGGGCCAAAACCAAACCAATTCCTTATCCCAATTACTTATATTTGGTGGTTGGTCATGTCCTTAAATTATATTGCTCTCTCTCTCTTGAAATCTCAGTGAGAGTGTTGGTAAAGTTGTGTAATCCTTGGATCAACTTAGTTTTTCCATGTTTTTTTAATGCCATTAGGGCACATGGATTGATGAAGAGTCAGCTCCTTCGGGTTTAGTCTCTGTTGTTACATTGTGGCTTTGTATTTGGAGAGTGAATAACTCAGAACTAAGTTATTGCTTCACTGTTAAGGCTGGCAGGGGAAAAAGAAGCAGCAGTGGAGCACAGAATCTATCTGTGTTAGCCCTCTATCACCGGCTACTCAACCCAGCTTTTGGCTTCACCTAAATGATAAATGGTCCTATTGTCTGGGCTTTAGTATTTAAAAAAAATAGAACTAAATCTAGATTAAGCAAGGACAGAGACCCATTTCATTGCACTGTACTTCAATATTCCTGAGATCCATGGCATTACGGGTGGCTCCTTTTAACAGACATCTCTCTCCAGGGCGGAACACTATGCTGTCTTTGTTTCATCTGATCTTTCAGCTAAATAAGAGATGGTCACTTATCCTCACTACTCCCATATCCTGCTGGATTTCTCTTGCGAAAAGAGAAACTCACCACACGGGAAAAGGTAGAGGTTTCAGGCAGAGCATTTCAGCGTGTGTTTACAGGCAGGACTGACTTACTCAGCAAATCCTGCTCGGAGGAGCTTCAGCCAATGAAGAGGCTATATCCCGGCTTGCTTGGGGGCTTCTGAGTTTGAGCTGCATGCAGAAATGTAAGGCAGTGCTTCCTGGCGCTGATGGCAAAATGGGACCCATCTCCAGTTATTCCTCGGGCACCCCAGCTTTGCAGACCTGGGAAAGAACCTACATAAACATATTGGTGATGTAGCCAGCTTAAAAGGCCGAGAGAATCCTTATGGATTCAGGAGACTGTTTTTTAATTTAGATTTTTATTTTTTATTTGGAAGATGAAATGCTTCTCTCGTTACCTGCCTTACATCTTCAGACCTCCGAACACCATCCTCTCTTCCAGCTGCCACACGGAAGGTACAGACCAGAGAGGGAGAGTGTCTGGGTGGGTGGGAAAAGTGGGCTGGTGTCTGACTTCCCACAGGTTCTGCTGATGCTGCTTGCTGTAGCTACTAGGTGACTGTCGTTCCTGGCAAAAGCTTGTATCCAACAGACTTAGATCTGCTTCTAAAATCAGTCTGTCTTGTACAAGGAAAGGGAAGTATTTTCTGAAGAGCAGAATAATGTTGCAAAGGTAATCTCAAAGCTGACACAGCTAATTAGAAAACAACTCAGAAATATTTTGCCAATTTTTCTTGTTTCATTTAGCATGCAAACAAGTCATTGGAACTAGTGTTAAGCAAAAAAACATTAAGTAGGTGCTGCCACATACATCTGTCCGAGCTCTCTGTTTTGTCACTGTCTGTTTGATAATTTGGTGCGTGCCCAAGAAAGCAATTAGCAAAATAAAATTAGCTTAGTACATCACTGTGGAGTGTTGATTGTTGGATTGGTTTACTTGGATTCCGTACTTGGGTTACAGAGCAGCAAGAACACAGCTGACTTTCAGCACTTACAGGAAATGTGGTTTGCAGGGGTCCTAAGTTGATGCTTTCAAGAGGGGTTGGGCTGAGCCTTGTATACATTCCCCAGTTCCTGTTTTCTCTGGGGACCTTCTCTGCTGCCTTCTAATGTAGCATGCTATGCATACGTGTGTGTGTGCCTTGTAAACATTCTGGCAATTCCCCTTCAACTAAGCATTGCAGAATGCAACATTTCTATAGTCAGAAGCCAGTTGTATACTTTCTAGATGTGAACTGCCTGTTTTTTAGATCTGACATATCTTAGAAAACAAACAATTTCAAGAAATGCCACTGGTTGACATTTTTGAGGCTTAAGGATTGTTCTACTAGTGGTACTTGATTGAAGAGGGTTGAGGATGGTGAGATGCTGTGACTCTACCTCATGTCCAGCCACACTCTCTTGGAATTGAGCTGGTGACCAGCCTGTTCTGAAAATCCACCCTTGTTTTCATCCTCCAAGTAGAATCCTGAGACTGGGGGCTGTGTGTTTAAAATGAGGGAAGCATATATTATACCATAAGGTAGTTTTTTATCAGTACCTTCAGGAAAGGGAGTAGACGTTTGAGATCACCCTTGAATTGAGACTGAGGATGATATTTTTCATAGACATTGATATCTCATAGATTTTGATTACAGTTGGTATTTCCATTTAAAAATTTATTGGTGGTAAAGGGAAATGACCCACTGAGAAATCTTTTCTTCCTAGTGAAAAGAAACAAAGTCCTTAACCATATTGAGGGGAGAAGGGGAATGGAAGAATGGCATGGACCAAAATTTCCGGGAAAACTTTTCAATTACTAGAGCTCTAAAGCCATAGAGAAGCTGCCTAGATGACTTTCCTATTTCTGATTGGTTCTCCTGTCCTTTCCTGCCTGCTTAGACTTAGAAAATTTAAACAGTTGGTTTACTGAGTTTCTGTCTTGTATATTAATCAAACTAAACATCCTGTATCATATAGAAAAAAAAATCCCTACAACAAGAACTTATAAAGCTGTTTTTGAAAATTAAATTTCACTGATTTATTTCATTAAAATGAAAACCCCATTTTGCTCCTGTCAAAACAATTTCTGCTTCACCCACTATCACCAGATTTCTGGGTGGGAAGGTGGAAAGGCATGTATTTAAATTTGTTGTAAACCTAGTAAAAAAAAAAGAAAAAAAAAAAAAAAATATATATATATATATATATATATATATATATATGGCATTTGTCAAACATTAACTTCATGGAGGAGGCTCCGGGACATAGTGGAAAAGACATGAGTTATGTACCAAGGTACCAAGCAAGCAGCGCCAGGTCACCTAATTGCTCTCTGACCAGTTTTATCTATAACATAGATGTAGAGATGAAATGTGACCATTAAATACAGTTCTTTGTAATGCTCTGTACACGATAGGTGCTGTCTGTTTTTGAGTCTCATGCCCCATGTGTTTTCTTAGATATTGAACTTTGCTTTATTTATCACGTTATCTTAAGCAATGAGTGGTATCTTCAAATGCATCACTGTGTCACGAGAAACTAGTTGCTCTTACTTAAAGCTTGTCCGAGGAGAAAAACATACCAGAATACACCTGAGGTTGTGTATGTGTGTGTGTGTGTGTGTGTGTGTGTGTGCACGCGCGCGCGCGTGTGTGTGTGTTCATATTGTTGGCAATTGTGTTACCCTGTGGTCTATTACAGAAAAAAATATGGCTGTGAACTTCACATTTCATAATTTGAAAAAGTGGAGAATGAATAATATGTGACTATCTCTGTGAAAGCCAAATAAATACGAATAACCCAATCTCCTTGAGAGAAACTCTAAAACAAATTTAAGAGCTTTAATAATTTCTGGGCTTCTTAGGGGATAGTACCATCCTAATTAGAAAACTTGGCTTGTCTTCCCAACTTCTCTTTGAACAGTTTTTTGTTTGTTTGTTTGTTTTTGTTATTGTTGCTGGTTTTTTTCAATGCAGGAAAACCATGGGCTTTGAATCTTAGCTCTGTCAACTGAAAGATATTGAGGAATTATTTAACCTCTTTGAGCCTCAGTTTCCTCATTTGTAAAATATAGGTAACAATGCTCCATAGGATGGTTGCAAAAACATACATTCAAAACAACATAGCAAGGTGATAATAACCATAGTAACAACCAGCCTTCACTTGTATTTAGTGTACCAAAGGCATCGTCTAAGCACATTGTGTATAGTAACACATTTGTATATAGGGTAAATCAACAATATGTGAGCCCTCAAGCCTGCGTTTTCATCCATTATATGGAGATTTGGTTCTCCATGTAGCAGTCAGAATGATTTTTTAATTATGATTATCTGACCACCCCACACTCTAAAACACAAACACTCGCATTTAAAACGTCTCTATGGTTTCTGTGGCCTGCAGGGCCCTGCGTATACTGACCCTCGCCTGACTTTCCTGCCTTATGTCAAACATACTCCATCTCACCTGGCCTCCAGACACACAGGTCTTCTTTGGTTCCTCAACATTCCCCCTCCCACTGTAGACTTTTGGGCTGCTCCTCTTTTCCTTCTGCCCCATTGCCTTGTTAATTCCAACCTTCAACTCTCAGCTCAAGCTGAGAAGCCATCCTGACCCTCAGCTGATCACAGCTCTTAATAAACTGAATTTCTTTACTGCAAAGCACTAACTCTAATTTGTCATTATGGATAAACCACTGTGACTGTTTTGTTAGTCTCTGCCTCACTGCTGCCCTGGAAGCACGACCCATGTGTAACTGTTGTACCGCCAGAACTAGAATGATGCCAGGCCCATTACAGGCGCTTAGTACATTTTTGATTGAATGAAAGATAACAAATACCAAGGCTGTTGTATGGATAAATTTCCAAAACCATATGTGAAAAATATTCTGAAGAGCATTCACTCCCACATGCATGAAAATCGTTTTAATCATTGTGGCTTGGGGAGCTTTCTGTAACCGTACTTTAAGGGACTAGTTTTATTGTAGTGTTCTTTTACTACTTTAAATAAGAGGATACAAACAGAAACCAGGACAACCAAATAATGCAGATCCACAATCAGGGTTTTGAGAAGACCTTTAGACTGTCTTGACTTCTCTGTAGACCTCAGTAAGGAAGCACATAACTCTTTCCCCTTAACAGGGGAGGATTCATCCACAAAAGTGGCATCTGAATTGGAGAAACTAAATTCCAATCACAGCTGTAAAGAAGCCATTCAAGACAGGATAGAGGGGACACAAAAACCCACAGGAATGAGAGAATCAGTGAAGTATAAGGAACCTTGCCTGATACTTTTTGGTGGACCTAATTTGTCACCAGGCACTGGAGGGCCTGTTTCTGTTATCTAACAAATCAGTAAGGACACTTTATTTTCCTAAAGGGACAAGGGTAGTGTGACTTGCCACGTGCTTCTTCCTTTCCCGAAATTGTCTTTATCTTATTTCCGTGCTGCAAATCTCTACCCATGTTTGAAAACTCAGCTTGAGTCAAGTCTTTCTAGGAAGATGTCTTCAACAACTCCAAAAATGAAATTGTTATTATGAGTCACACAAACCACAAGGACAGTGGAAAGAAGAAATAAGAAATAGCAGCTTCAGCACCACGAACCCTGTGGACCACTGGCTGGGTGCTAAGGGCTATGTCTGTGCATCTTGGACTCCTCACAACAGTCTTTCTTATTAAATGCCATTATCTCCATGTTACAGATGAGGAAACTGACTCAGACACAACTTACTCAGAACCACAGCTAGTGAAGTGGTAGAGCCAAGACGGAAGTCCAAACTCTCTGAATTCAAAATTGGTACTCTTAATCTTTATCACACTGCACATTTCCTTCTGAATGTGAGAACAGCCTTCAGATTACATATTGAAACAGGCCTATTTACATGCCCGTCTCCTGCGTGACCAGGAGCAACTTGGGCACAGGAATTCTGCCTTACTCATCTTTGGTCTTTGCATCAGAGTCAAGTTCTACTCAGAGCTTGACTCTGAGTAGATGCTCAAGAAATCCTTCTTAACTAAAGGACTGAATGGGAGATTGAATAAGCAAACCAAACCGTATTCTATCAACAATGCTCCTTCAAGAGGAGAATCTATTTTAAAGCAAGTATCTTCCAATGACACCCAAAAGCAGGTTTGCTGGAAGTCTACATACACACAGAGGGAAAAATAACATCGTATTTTTCTAACCCTTGTTATATCATAAATAATAATCATTATACAAGAATAAGTAAAACATATGATACATACTGTTTGCTAGGCACAATTTCACCATGAATGTATGTCAATGTAGGTATGGATGTGTGTGTGTCTGTATGTGTGTGTGTGTGTGCGTGTGTGTGTGTGTGTGTGTTTATCCCTAACAGTTTTATAGGGTCAACACTGTTTTCCTCATTTTATCCATGAGAAAACCAAGTCACAGACAAGTAACTAGTCTCCGTTCACATAGCTATTAAATGCAAGGGCTAGAATTGGAACCCGTGCAGTCTGATTCCAGAGGTACATGCTAAGAATGGATTCATTACTACTATATTTTGTACTTTTTCATATTTATAGATTCATATTTTTCATGCGTTTGAA